ACACATCTCTCTTTTAATTTTTTTTTCTCTTTCATTTTCAATGTTATAGTATTTCTTTTTTTTCCTATTGTGTTGTCAATTTTTATTTGTTTCTCTGCTTCATTCATATATATATATGTTTGAAAAGTAACATTTGCACCTTTCACTTTGACGATTCGAAAATGTGAAATACATTATTGCCAAAAAAGCAATTTCATGAAATAAATGACTTCAATGCAGTGCCAATTGTGTGGCTCAAATGTATCACTTCGGCTCACAATGGACTAATGTTTATATGTATATAGGGAGAGAGTGAGAGAAATATTGTATCGTTCTTGGCGAAATCCGCGAAAATAAATCGCGAAGGAGGGCAAAGAACTGATAAAAAGATGTAAAATAAATAAAAAAAAAGTATAAAATTTTGATGAAAGGTAATTTTAGGGGAGGGGAAGGTCAACTTCCTTGAAATATTATTTCATTGTGTCCACAAAATTACAAAATACTACCTTTTATGTATAACACGAGTCATGAATTTTAATTAATTACACACTAAAAAAAAAGTTTTACTTTCAGCCTATTTTTGAGGCTGAATTTAAGGTGTAAACGGAGTCAGCCCCGTTAAACAAGGACAGACTTATGTGAAATACATGGGCTGAATTTAAGGTGTAAACGGAGTCAGACTTTTTTTTTCCTGTGTAGATCAACATTTTTTTTTTTACTTTCATTTCAATTTTAATATGAAATAAATACAGTAGCGAGTGGAGTAAAAAAGACACTCTTTTTCTTATTTTTTTTGTGTTTTAATTAATTTTTTTCTAATTTAAAGGTTTTTTTCTAAATTTACAATTATAGTTTTACTTTCTTAAATATATTTTTTTGTTTCTTTTGCACTTTACAACTGATTATTGTTAAAATAAATTTTTATTCAGAAGTATTCAAACTGATATGAAGTAAATACGATTTGTACAATTGTTAATAATAACAATTATTTAGTTAACAATTATTAATATTATTATAAATATTATTTCTACTTCTTAATATTAGTTATAGTAATATTAGTAGTAATAATGTTTATTTTTTTTTATTTTCAGTCACTGAAATGTGAACGAAATTTTGCAAAATGAATCTTTTTCGATATTTTCTTTCAATTTAATTAATTATCGATTTCATAAAAATATTTCAAAATTGTTATTTTTCTGGTTTTAAACGAATTAGAATTTTAAAATGATTCCCTTGATAAAATTATAATTTACTTATAATATAAAATTATATTTCTATTCTCAATAGAAAAATACATTTCAATAGATATTATTACTTACAAAATAACTCGACAGGAAACAATAATTGTTTAACTCACCTGAAACAAAAGGAAAAGAAAATACTTTTTATTTGAATTATTATCGAAAAAAGGTTAAAAAAAATATTATTTACTATTCTTTTTCACAAATATTTCTATACTAATTTTCATCAGTAGAAAAATATTAAAATTGCCAAAAATAGAGTCAAAATATTTTACTTATATTATATTCTATAACTTATTTATTATATTATTAAGATTATTATTATTATAATTATTATTATTATCATTACTATTATTATCATTACTATTATTATTATTATTATTAGTAATTTTTCCCATATTTTTGCCTTCAACCTAATGGATGAAAGTATTCAAAAAAATATTATTAGCCATATAATATTGTTAGAAGAAGAATATTTTTACATTTTTTAATATATAAAAAAGTTAAGTAACGATAAATAAAATTAAGAGATAATTTTTATTAACATCTTTTAACTGCGCGGTTTTATGGCCAATTTTCCCTCTAAAATTGAAAATTATTATTATTCTAAAACTTTTTTTTTTATTACACTACGTAAACTTTTCCATTAGGTTGAAAGCAAAAAATGGAAGAAGAAAAAAAATACTTGATTAAAATTTTCAGTCAAAGAATAATAATAATTATTATTATAATTATTATAATACGTGTAGAGAAAGAGAGAAAAAGAAAGAGATAGAGAGAGACAGAAAGAGAGAGAGAAAAAGAGATGGAGAGAGAGTATAATGTGAAAAACATGTACAAAGTGATATGAATCACGTCAAAGTGAACATTATGGAAAAAGTAAAATTCATACGTACGAAAAGACACTTTCTTCATCCATTACGAATGATTAAAAACTGTTTTTCAAATATTTAAGTAGGGGAATTTTTTTTGTCTCTTCATTTTTTTTTCTCTCTTTTAGTTACGTTACGTGAATAAGAATATCATTCCATCGTATTATTTTGAACGACATTATAGAAATGGACCTGAATCTCTTATGTGATTGCACAATCTTATTAAAAAAAAAGAAGAAAAAAGAATAAAAGAAGACAAAAAATGTAATATCTTTTATTGAGTGCATAATGTAATCGATATAAGAAAACCATTTCCCCGCTATGAAAGTGCAATAAAATTGATTTCTGTATATATTATGCATTTTCACAAATATACACTATAAATGTCAAGTGCGATTTTTTTATTTTATTCCTTTTTTTCAATATAAAAAAATCAGATATTTTAATAAAGAAATCTTTATTTTTCTTTCTTTCATTCTTTACTTTTTTTCATTTTCTTCCTTTCTTTCTTTTCTTCATTTTTTTTCCTTTTTTTCCTCCTTTTCTTTCTTTCTTTCATTTTTTCAGGAGGGGATTTTTTTTTGCTCCATTTTTACGTGCAAAATTTGCGCCAAATAAAAACCTGTTTTATTCTATTAATATGAAGCGGGACAAAGAATGAAAATGGGTTGGAAATTTTGTTATTCATGAGCAACCGAAAAGACTACCTGTGAATGCAAATTTTCGCAGAATGTCATATAAGAGACAGTAGAAGAAACAACATCTCGCGCTGCGCGGGATTCTGTCTCTAATCTGAATGAAAGTAAAGTGCCACTTGGCCTTATCTTGCGAAAAAAAAAATTAATAAAGAACCGGATGAATAATGATTTATTTATGTAAATATTTATTTCATTTCTTATGCAATTTTCAAAATTAATCAAAATAAAGGATGGATAATTAAATTCAGTCATAACAAAATTGTGTGCTGTCATAATTCTTTTTTTACACTTGCGCAGAGACAAAATATAATAATTAACTTTTTTTCCCCTTATGTCAGAAATTAATAATAAAAATAAATAAATAAAATAAATAAAAAAAATATAAATATAAATGAAAATAAAAGTAAAATACATAAAAATAGAAATAAAATAATAATAAAAATAAAATAAAAAAAACAAATAATAAAAATAAATAAAAACTTGTCAATTAATAAATGTTGTAAACTAAACAACAGAAATAATTGTTGATATTTTTAAAATACAAATTTTGCTTCTTCTTTTTCTTTTTGAAACAAAAAAAAAGTTATCACGGCGGTAAAATGAGAATTTCACCCTTCCAAATCGGAAAGTAACTTTATAATTTTATTATGAAACTAAATATCAAGCTCAAAATGGCTTACACAATGTTTTAACCAAATTTAAATGAGTCCAGAATTTTAGTAATTATACAAAGAGGATATCGTGTATTATTAATACTATTATTATTATTACAATCTGAATTTAGAGCAAGATTTAATGCACACAAAAAGGAGTTCAAATTTTCCAAAAGGGAAGAGATTTCAAAACTAAAACAAAGGAACATTTAATCTATTTCGCAGAAGAAAATTCCCCGCACAAAAATAGAGAGAGAGAGAAATAATAAAAATAAAAGGAATTTTCTTAATATTGTTATAAATCAACAAATAAATAAATATTTATTATTATTACAATAATTATTAATCAGAATTAATAATAATTGTTTTATTTAAAAATAAATTATTAATAGGAAAATAACTAACAGCAATAAAAATAATAATAAATAATATTATAATTGTTATATTATTAAAAATAATAAACATATAAATTATACATTTTTTTGTAGAAATATTCTAGCAGAGGAATAATGTTAAACAATATCAATAGTAATTTTTAATTTTTTAAATAACAGTAATAATAAAAGGGGAGAGCATTTTGAGGTGAGTTCTTTTTTTCTCATTATGTTGATCATATGCAAATGCAGCACTCGTCATATCATGAATTAAAGTGGATGTAATTTAAAAGCGAGTCGAGAAAGTTACTCATGGGGCTTGTTCTCGTAAACTTCATTTGTAGACAACTTCAAAAGCAAATATATAGTTCAAATTTCTAGGACAGAATTTTATTTTTTTTTTCATAAAAAACTTTACTAATTCTTCAGCAATTCTGTTTTTAACAAAATAATTAATTTTAGGTAATTTTTAAAAAATTTTATCTACTTTTAAAAATTATAATAAATTCTATCTATTGTTAAAAATATTATGAATTTTATCTTTTTTCAAAATAATTTTTTTCAATAATGCTTTGATTATTTAATTGATTAATTATTACTTAATTTAATTTATTTATTTCATAATAATTCCCAAATGAAAAATAAACTAATGATTACAATTAATAAAATAAAACATATAATTATTTTCATTTCAAAATACAATATTTCCTTTTTTTGTTAATTTTTCTACCTTTATATCAATTACAAAAAAATAATTGAAATATTTTTTCTCTCGATCAAAAAAAGAAAATACATAAAATATAAATTTAAATCGACACTAACAACAGGGAAAGTTTTTTTTTATTCTCGAGACCTTATACAGAAATTCTTCCGCGTATTGATTCCCACTTTTTTTTATTTTATTTCTCTTCTTGAATTAAAACATTTCATCGTCCATCAATGACAGACGGTGACTAATTTTCGCAAATCCGCATTTCTTTAAAAATCAAAATTGAACTCCTTTCTGCGATGTCAGTTTGCAAAATAAAAAAAAAAAAAAATATTACGTCAGTCGTGAATCGCAAAACAAAACAAAACAAAAATTAAATTCATTTTGGGGCGTGTACTCTGGCCTTGCAGTGAAAGTAATATTTGCGCACACAATGGCGTCGAGAATGGTTATATATAAAAACACCATTGGTACCAAAAAATGATGGCACACGTGAGTTAACATTCCTTTGGGAAACATGAGGACCTTCACACTAGTGAGTAATTTCATTTAAACGTTTGTCACTCATTTTTTAATTGAAACATCACAAAAGACGACGACAACGTGATTTAATAATTGAAAAATCACACAAAATAAATTTGAAATTTTTAGAAAACTATTTTCCTCCCTGAGGTTTTTTTCGTTTTTTCATTTTCATTTTAATAACATTTTTTTAATTACATTTCAATTTATAAAAAGTTTTAATTTTAATTTAATTCTTTTTTAATTTCATTTTTAATTTCATTTTTTCCTTTTCTAATTTTGTTTTCAATTTCTTTTTTATCGAATTTTAAACAAAAAATTAAATTCCAACAAAAAAACTCCAACAAACAATACATATTAATTATTCTAACAATTTTTCGTTTTCCGATTTTTTTCTGCTATGTTTTAGTTATTTGTTCGATTTTTATACCGATTCACTCGCTAGAATACAAATACAAAAATACAAATTTATCAATAAAAAATAAAGAACAAATAAACAATAAAGTGTCAAGTGTGCAGTGGTTAGGTGGTTAGGGTATTGAACTTGTAAACCTACAGTCGTGCGTTCGATTCCCCTGGCCCTATGCGAATTTTTTTCTCTTAAATAAATAATATAAAGTGATAATAAAAAAACATTCGAAACTTAATAATTAAAATGAAAATAAATAGTAAAAAGAAAAGGTAAAAAGTAAACAATGAAAAACTAAATACATAATAAAGAGCTAAATAAATAATAAAAAAATAATAAGGAAATAAACAATAATAAATAAAGTAATAATAAGAAAATAGTAAAAAAATAAAGAAGCAATAATAAAAATAAGTAAATAACAAACTAATAATAATCAAATGTCCTGTGGTAAGGTGGTTAAGGTATTTGACTTGTAAGCCTAGAGTCATGCGTTCGATTCCCCGTCCCAATGAGAATTTTTTTCTGTTAAATAAATAATATAAAGTGATAATAAAATAACATTCTAAACTTAATAATTAAATAGTAAAGAAGTAATAAAAAAACAGAGGTAAAGAGTAAATAATTAATAACGAAATAATAAAAAAAACTAAATAAATAATAAAGTAATAATAAAGAACTATTTAAGTAATAAAGAAATAATAAGAGAATAAATCATAGTAAATAAGGTAATAATAAGAAAATAATAAATAAGTAAATAAAAAAGCAATAGTAAAAATTAATAAATAGTAAACTAATAATAATCGAATGTCCGGTGGTAAGGTGGTTAAGTTTTTGAACTTGTAAGCCTAGAATCGTACGTTCGATTCCTCTGGCCCTATGATAATTTTTCTCTCTTAAATTAATAATAAAGAAAACATAATATTTAAATAAAGTAGGTAATATTGAGAAAATAATAAATAATTAAAGATACAATAATAACAATTAAAATTAAATAACAAAGCAATATTTAAAAAGTAGTAAATAAATAATAATAAAATTTTTAATTGTTTAATTTTTTCCAGATTTGTCTGCTGATAAGCGCCTGCGCGTCGAATTCGAGGAAACTGGAAAAAAGAGGATTTGACGCGTCAAAATTGGGATTTCCGGGACATTCTTCATATTCCCGAACTTCCGGCTACGCTAGAGGTCTTGGTCTTGGTTCCTATGCAACTGGCTCTACATTTCCTCTAAATTACGCTCCAGCCTTTTCTTTCGTCAAGTCAAGAAACGATTTTTCCACTTCCAATAATTTAGGACTATCGAATTACGCCTTGGGAAAAAATGAGCGCATCACGGGCATTACTGTCAACCGAGAAATACGAATTCCAGTACCGGTTCCGCATATTTTACCAGTGCAAGTGACTCGTACAGTGCCAATTCCACAACCATATGCCATCAAAATTGAACGTCCGTATCCGATAATTGTATCACATCCGGTTCCAGTGGATTACCCGATTACCCGAACAATTCCCGTACCAGTTCCGCAAAACGTTATTCCAATTTCCGCCTCTAATTCCCTACCACTTCCCCTCAGTCCTCTCTCATTCGCTCCCGAGAATTCCTATTCAAATTCATATTCTACTTCCGGATCGGAAATTGCTACCGGAACTACTACTGAACTCAAATCCGGAATTCGATCCACTTATGGATCTGATTTTGATTCCGATTTAGCTTCTTACGTTAATTCGGGAACAAGTTCCGATTTTAGTGCCACTTCTCACTTCAATTCAGACAGTGGAAATAATTTTCACTCCGGATTTTTGTCGTCTGTGAGTGCTTCCGGAACCGGTTCGAATTCCTATTCGAGTCACGGAACTGGAACTATTTCCGGTTTCGAGTCTGAATCCTATTCAGCAATTGATTCCGGATCTACATTAAAATCTGGGTCAAAGACCTCATTTGGATCATTGCTGGAGCGAAATTCGCCAATTTCCGGTTATTCGTATCCGGTTCCAGAAAAAAAACTTGGTTTTTGAAGAATTTTTGGTGGAAAAAGAGAGAGAGAGAGAGAGAGAGAGAGAGAGAGAGAGAGAGAGAGAGAGAGAGAGAGAGAGAGAGAGAGAGAGAGAGAGAGAGAGAGAGAGAGAGAGAGAGAGAGAGAGAGAGAGAGAGAGAGAGAGAGAGAAAGTGGGGTTAACGACTGTTTAAAACAAATTTTTTCTGTCTTTACCCACTTTTCTCAAAATTCTCACGTTTCCGTCAATTTTAAGGCCTAGAATCGTGTTCAACGGGCAAAAATACATTGAAAACGACTCTAATGTCAAAAATAAGGAAATAGAAATTTTTTTGCGTCTTTACCCCCACTATTTTCAAAATTCTTTTTTTTGGACTTGTTTTTGAAGGTTTTTGTTTTGAAATATTTTCCCTCTTCAACTTAAACCAGAGACTTCCAAAAAGTCTTCAATTAAAGCATAAAACATACACTTTAAGACCCATTGGCGCAAGACTAAAAAAAATAATTTTTTTGAGAAAAGTGGGGGTAAAGATAAAAAAAAAATTTTTTTCGTAATTTTTGACATTTGAGTCGTTTTCAATGTATTTTTCCCCGTTGAACACGATCCGGGGTTTCAAAATCTTCTAGCACGTCAGGTTTTCGAGAAAAGTATGGGTAAAGACCCCAAAAAATGAGTATTAAAGAGAGGACCTGAATTTTTCTCAAAATTGTAACGTACTTGTTTCGTAAAGAGATTACAATTTTTCTTTTAGGAAAAATTACTTACTTTACTTATTTTAATTTTAGAAACAATAAGCAATAAGCAAAAATTGTAAATATTATACAAAAGAAGTATTAGAAATTATGTAATTAGAAAATTATTACAAAAAAAAACAAATATTAAATATTAATAAAAATAAAAAAAGTATCTTCGTGTTCTTATTTTGCTAATAAAATATTTAATCCTTTATTCATTGTAATAAGTATAACAAAGACAGGTAGTAAAAAAATATTTAATAAATGACATAGAAAAGTTTATCGGTAGTCGAAAAACAAAATATTACTAATTTTTTCCAAATTAAGGGTATGTGGAATCAGCCAACTTCAATTAATACATGTATTAATATTCCCACCGGTTTTCTAAAAAAATATTTAATAAATCTTGACAAAATATAAGAAAAATAATATTCTATTTATTGAGGCATGGATCTCTAGTCCAATTAATACAAAAATTTGCTTTTAAATATTATTTTTCATTTAATAAAAAGTTTGATATTTTTTGAGAAAAAAGACAATCAAATACAAATTAATATTGAAAAAAATGAATAAATTTATATTTTTCTATGTTAACATTCATTTTTTTTAATGGCAATTTGTATTCGATTGTCTTTTTTTCTCGAAAATTGTCAAAAAAAATGAAAGTTTGAATAGAAAAATATAAATTTATTCATTTTTTTCAATATTAATTTGTATTTGATTGTCTTTTTTTCTCAAAAAATATTAAACTTTTTATTAAATGGAAAATAATATTTAAAAGCAAATTTTTGTATTAATTGGACTAGAGATCCATGCCTCAATAAATAAAATATTATTTTTCTTATATTTTGTCAAGATTTATAAAATATTTTTTTAGAAAACCGGTGGGAATATTAATACATGTATTAATTGAAGTTGGCTGATTCCACATACCCTTAAATAAGTGAAAAATAAATAAAATTAATGAAATAAATACAATACAAAACGCAAAGTAAATTAATAAACGACTATTTAATTTACTACTTAATTAAATAAAAACAAACCTCCAAACTTTTTCCACCAAAGCTACTTTTAAATTCTCGTCACCTTTTTTTTCAACAAATTCCACTTTGTTCTAAGCGCTGCAAAAAACAAAATTTTTTTTCGCAAACAGAAAAAAATTTCCCGAAGTAAATAAGAGAACCTTCTAATAAAATTTCTTTTTTCTTTGTGCAATAGAATTTCCAATATATCAGAAAGAGAGTGAAATTGGAAAAAAGAGAGAGAGGAAAAAGCGCCTAAAAAAGTTCCTATTTCAAAACTATCGAATTTTTGGTAGACGGATATTACAACCGAAAACCTGAGAACTCCTTTGAAATTCTCAACTATCCCCCTGTACAACTGAAGCCAATATAAAGGACAAAATTGAGTTTCAAAAAGCTATGAAACTGTAATAACGGTAAGTTTACTTTTAATATATTTTTTTTTCTATTAAATCAAACACTAACTTTTTGTGGGAGAGTTGCAAAAAAGAAACGAAATTAATTTCTCGAGAGAGATAGAGAGATAATCGAAAAATAACAAAATCTTCATTTCAATTTTTCTAAAATTATTTTATATACCTATAGTTTGAAAATAAATTTTGTAAACATATTTTAATGGAAAAATGAAATAAAAAAATAAGTCGAAAAAAAGAAATATAAAAAGAAATCAAAAATGAATTCAAAAAGAAATTAAAAAAGAAATAAGAAAAGAAAGCAAACAAGGAATTTAAAAAAATCCAAAAAATAAATAAAAAATAAAAAAATATTATTTTAAATTTTAAGACAATTATTTTCGATTATTCTAATTACCAAAAAGTGAATAAATTATAAATAATAAATAAAAAATGAATAAAAAAAAACAAAAAAAATAAAAATTTAATTAAAAAATAATTAATGTTTAAAAAATTAAAATAATCAAAAGATATTTTAAATTTCTATTCAATTATTTTATATTTTATTATTAATTTATTCAAATTACCAAAAAAAAAAAAAATAAATAAATGAGAAATTTTCTGTATTCTATCAAAAAGAAGAAAATGTTGGAATTTCGTCGTTAAATATTTATCATAATAAACAAAGAAGGATTTCATTAATATTCCGAATAACATTAACGGACAAATATATCTGTCAAATTATATTTTGAAAATAAACACGTGATTATGTAAATTTATAATTTGAACACGACGAATTGACGCATATTTTCGTATCAAGTATTTTTGCAAAATAAGAAAATTTTACACACAAGTTGGCTTTAATTCACGTTTTTGAAAATTTTGATTGAGAAACTAAAATTCTAAATGAGTCAGTTGGCTTCAATATTCAGCGACATAGCAAAAATAACACAGTCATATTTTTAACTCGATATTTTTGTGACGTTCGTGCAACAAAGTGTCTTCATTTTATATATTATTGTTAACATAGAAAATCAATCAGAAAATAATAAAGGCAAAAAAAATAAATAGAATTTTCTGAATTTTTCTAGAAAACTAGATTTTAAAATAAAAAAAATATATTTCTGTATATTTTAATTTTTTTCAATATTGTTAATTATTTCATTCTTTTTTCTATTTTAACTAATATTTTCTTAACTAATTTTTTTTATTAATTTTCAACAATTAATTTGTAACTAATTTGCATATTTTTCCACATTTATTTATTGTAATTTAATTTAATTTTATTAATTTATTGTAATTCATTTTTATTATTATTAATTTTATTATTAGTAATTGCAATATTATTAATTTTCGTATTAATATTAAAAAATATTTTTATTTATTACCAAGAAAGTATTTAGAAAAAATAGAAAATTATATATAGTAAATATTAGTTTTTTTAGAAAAGAAAAATAAATAATTAATAACATTAGAAAAATAATTTAATTATATTATAAAAGATGAAATATTATAAAAGAAATTCAAAAAAAAGAGAAAAAATAGAAAAACAAAAAAAAATAAAAAATTGAAATTTGAAAATTAAAGAATATAAATTAAAGATTAAATAAATTAAAATTATTAAAATAAAAAGTATTTCTAAAAATAGAAAAACAAACATATCCCCTGGTCATTAAAATTTTCAATACATTTCTTGACTTTCAATTAAGAAACTTGGACACTTATTTCGTCGCATATCTAAAAGAGGCTTTCAACGTTTAACGTTCCAAGATTCACGTTTGAAGAAATTTCAAAAGACCTTTGTCACAAAGTTTCTTCAAAGTTTCTAAGTACACTATATAGGAAACGTCAATTTCGAAGATATTTCACAAGTTTTCCATCATCATCATCATCATCATCATCATCCTCATCATATATGTCACTAAGCAAAATTCTGAATAAAAAATAGAAGAAAGAAATTCCACAAAAAAATGAAATTTCATTCCCATTTTGACAAAAAGATTTTAGATTGGAAAAAAAATTGAAATAATATTAACGAAGAAGAAAAGAAATCTTTAAAGATGAATTTTTCTTCCCTTGGAATACACACTTTGAAAAGAAAAGTTCAAATTTCCTTTTTTTAAATATTCCAAGAGACTTGAAAATGAGTTCCCTTTTGCGCTCGTTCAAGACTGTTTTTGACATGAAAAGAGAAGAGGATCTTTGTTATAACTCTCATATATATTTTAAATCAACATCAGTTATCTCACACTGTGGGAATAAGTTATTTCATCCAAAATAATAAATTTTACGGTACAATGATTTTTGAGAAAAAAAAATAGGAAATTGGATATTTTTAGAAAAGGGAAAAAATTGGAGTTTTTTTTCTGTATACTCAAGTTATTATGCTATTCGCATAAAATTTAAATATTTTCGAGTCTGATTCAAATCTTTATTATCTTTCAAGTTTTGTAAGTATTAGTATTTTTATAAATATTATTCATTTATAAATTTTATTAATTTATAAATATTATTTCTATAATTAGTATTGGTTTTTTCTGAAGCTAAGAATTTGTTTTGACAATAAGATAAAGTTATTTGCACCAAATGCAATTTTTTTAAACCAAATGAAGCTATTATTTAACAGAAATTAAATTTATTTGAGCCAAAAGAAAAATATTTGAACGAAAAGAAACTTATTAGAACTAAAAAAGAAATTGCACAAAAAAAATTGTTTGAACCAAAAGAAACATATTTGAACCGAAAGAAACTTATTTGAACTCAAAAAATATTCGAAATTCAATTATTTTCAATATCTATCCTAGTATTTTCATAAAACTTCGCAAAATAATCCAATTATTTTTTTAAAAATTGATAAAATTTAACTATTTTTAATTAATTAATATAAAATTTCAATTATTTTCACAAATAAAATTTCCCACAAGAATTCAATTATTTAAAATAAAATTTCCATAATATTTATTATATTTCGAAAAAATCAATTATTTAAAAAACAATGTTTATAAAATTCTTATGAAGAATTCAATTATTTTCAAAAATAACAAAATTCTTCACAGATAGACAATTCTTTTTAAACATTTTAGTAAAATTTTTCGCAATAATTCAATATTTTTCATAAACAATGAAATTTTTCTCAGATATTGAATTATTTTCATAAATAATAAAATTCATAGCAGGATTTCAATTATTTTTAATACAATTTTTCAGGAATTGCTCAAAAAATGTAATTATTCTTAAAAATTTGATTTCGATTTCTCGAAAAAATTAATTATTTAAAAATATTTGTTTAAAATTCTTTGGAATAATTAATTATTTACAAAAATATTATAATTTTTCACTGAAATTCAATTATTTTGAAATATTTTCATAAAATTGTTCGAAAGAAATCAATTATTTTAAATAAATAAATAAATAAATAAATAAATAAATTTCTTCTTAGAAATTCAATTATTTTGAGGTATTTTAATAAATTTTTTTTCAAAAATAATTCTATTATTTTTATAAATAATAAAATGTTTTTTAGGAATTCAATTATTTTGAAAAAAATTTAATAAAATACCACACAGACATTCAATTATTGTCAAAAATTTTAATAGAATTCTTTGCAAAATTTAATTATTTTTAAAAACTTTTTGCACATCAATTATTTTTAATATCTACTATTTTCATAAAATTTCCAAACAGAATTCAATTAT